TGCAGTGCAGCAGGCAGCAGCTGGAGGTGATTGCTCACAGGGAGAGCAGAGCAGGCAGACGGGCCAGAATCATAACAGATTTGAGATTCAAGAACTCAGAAAGAGACACAAAAAGGAACACGGAAGCACTGATGGATAAACACTTTATATATTAGAGAATGTAATTGTAAACTAGCTCCACAGGTGTCTTAGTCTGGGAAAAAAAAAAGTTAATCAGATGAGCTTTGAAGTTTTATTTGTGTAAAAAAGGACGAAAGAGAGCAACTACAACTACTTAAGCCTCTTTCCTACTTAAAATAGCAGGTTAACCTGGGTTTTTCAAAAAATGGGTAGACCCGGGTGGAGGTTTTCAGGTCCTACATGCAAAGATGAGTAGGCAGAGATGAGTTTTGCTGCTTTAATTGAAAGTCCAAGGGAACAGTGGCAAAAATAAAAATAAAAATGAGAACCAAAAAATCCAGATAACATCAGGGAAAACACATGTGGGGAGCAAGAGATGAGGAAGCAACAAACCAACAAAAAGAAACATGTACTGATACTGAATTCAAATCCAAGGACTGTGTCCTCCCTATCCCAGATTCGAAGGCCGATCACGTCATACGGCGGCGCCAAGATCTGTTCAGACTGCAAGACTCCTCGTTAAAAATGCATCCATCTTTTTGCCCTTCTTGAAGGACGGGTCTGGAGTATCATATAAATTGAATATTCTTTAGAAAGATCTTTGTAAATCTTTTGTAGAAGTTACCACAAATATGTAGCACTTATACAGTAGGTGTCTTTGTTTTCATTCAGTCTTCTGTGTAGTTCATCCCAAACCATTTCAGTGGGTTGAAGTTTAGGACTATACTGTTGATTTCATGTCTGCAAACTTACCAACTTATTGTTTGTTTTTTTTGCCTTTGGTTGTGCTGGTATAACTTAGATAGCAGAGGGTATCCAAGGGACACTGCACAATGTTGTTGTATCCATTTTCAATCTAGATGTCGCTCACTTTATATACTGTAAGTCATCGACCCTGGATCCAGTAAAACAGCCCAAGACTACTACACCTTCTCCTCCGTGTTTAACAGTTGATGTCACTGTGGAACCTTCCTTTCACATATTTGACAACACATAAAGATCCCTTTTTATGAACCAAAGACTTTCTTCTGCTCTTTAGCCGTCCAATGGCAATGTCTTATGGCACAGGCAATCCTCTTTGTCATATCCTGACCATTATGGCTACTATTAAGTTGTACTTGCAGCAGTTGCCCTTTGAGCTGCACATCATATTATCTATTGTCTCTCAGAAACTTGTCCCCCATCTTTAGGTCTGCAAGACCTCATCCTGTTAGATATTCCTCCATTTTATAACTACCCCTTAATGGTAAAGAAAATGATATATATTAATACATTGACTCTCTGCAATTGATTGTTGAACTTTCAAGCAGTTGCAGATTCTGCTTTATATATATATGTATTAGAAATGGGCGTTATGAGGATGTCCTGGGGTACTTGAGAAAATACGTGTGTACATTTATCACCTTGTTCCAAACGAATGCATATTTTATGTTACATTTCACATATTTTATAAACATACCTGGCTACAGGTTTGTTTATTATCATTCCTGGTCTCCATACTGTGTGTCTGTGTATGCGTAAGTAGTCACGGTACGCAGGTGGCTCGCCTTTGAGTCACATTTGATTGATGGTCAGGGCTGGTATGCTTTGCTGGTGAGTGGCTATAAACTAGCATTGCTAATAATCCATATCAAGCATTAATATCTCATGATTGATTGTATAAGGTCATTGGTTAATTCTGGGTTTTGCGTTTGTTTTCAGTGCAGGTTTACAACCTAATTAACGTTGCTAACTGACTCATTAATTATCAAGCCAACAGGCTAGTGTAGTTGTAGCAGTTGAGCTGCCTAGTGTGTGTTGATGCTTATTGTGAATGTGTGTGCCATAAAAATCCATAAAGCGACTTGAGTTGTATCCGCCGTACTTGTCCTGAAACCCTTCCAGAGGGGAGTTTAGTGAGCTATAGCAGGTAATTCAGTAAAAGTCTGGACACTGAAGATCACTACTTTTCAAGGTTCATTGTGGGAAATTTTGAGTCCACTACTTATCCATTAGCTGTTCAGAAACTAAACTAAAGTGGCGTAACCCCTATATAGTGCCCTTTATAGTGATTAGTGCGATCTTTCGGACACAGCCATAGAGTGGCATATTTAAAGTTATCATGCTCGTCTTTTCTGGATCAAACCCCCCAAAACATATAAAAGTGCTGAAATCTAGGTTGCTTTAAATCAAGATTAGAACCTATTTCGATAGGTTTTGTAGTCCAACTTGTTTTCATTTTTATTGTAATTTTATTACTTTACCTATTTAATTTATTCAATGCATAGCACTTTGAATAGTGTTGCTACTGAAACGTGCTATATAAATAACCTTGCCGTGCCTTTCAGCAGTATTACAGTGTTAAACATATCCTCACAAGGGTATTTTAAAATTGTTTCCCAACATTGCTTTTATGCAACTATAGGGGGTTGTAAGTAAACAGGAAATTTTACAAATTAGTAGCACCAACTTCCTTGAGCAGTGTTTTAATAGATTTCCTTTTTTCTAAGTGTAGAGTATGATGTAAGCTGAGGTGGTTTTCATCAGAGGGCAGTAAAATGGGAAATACAGGCTTGAAGAGAGGAATTATGACTCATGATAGCTTTATTGTAATTATATGTTTTCGTTTTTGTGTTAGTAAAAATCTTTTTCTAAGCAAAAAAAAAAAAAAAAGTCAAAATGTTTAAAACCCTCTGTTTACAGAAAATTCTGCAATGGAACCCATTCCGAAAACCCAGACTTGCACTGCTGCAATGGGAAGCCTTACAATCCAGAGAGAGACACTTGCTGCAGGGGTCATGGAGAGAAAAAAACAGGTAATAACTTTGTGTTAGACAATTTAGATAGTCTGTTTTATTATTTAAAGATTGGTTAAAATCGCAAACTCTAAACATCTGGAAACCTCTTGTGTTATGCAAACGTCCTCTTATACACTTCCCGTCCTAAAAACTTTTCTGCTTTTAAGCCAACAGCATCATGTTTTGGGAAAACGTCTTCTACAACAGTAGTGTCAGAGTTTACAGTAAGGTAGAGGGATCTAAATATGATGCAATCCTGAAAGGAAGCCTGAAATTCCAGCTGTTTACAGGCTGAATAAAAGTTAATAACATACTTTTCATAATGTGCTGGCTTAATTTAAACTTAAAAGAAAAAAAACAAAATCTGGGATATATTGTAAAACATGTATTCTACCTTTGTAGAAAAATTCCATGTGCCCTGCAGTTAACCTTAATAAGGCATTGCACATTTTCCTGGTTTTAATCGTCTTTACATAGTGGCAGATGATGTGTGAAACTATTTACTACTTTCACAAGTAAAGGCACAGCTAGTATTTCCTTTCCCCCAGAGTTCACATAAAGTTTGCACCTTCCAACATGGGTGACATTTTAATGAACCGAGCTCTCTTCTTTCGCTGAGCAAACAACAAACCTCTAAATATGGATCAGATTGTGTCTTGATGTAAAAACCACCTGGAAAGGTTTCCCATGTGTTGATATGTACTTTGAACTTCAAGCTGAACCTTCCCTGAACTTTCAGTTCTTCCACTCCCCCTGCTATATTTCCATGATACTGATGAAGCTTTTTTTTTCTCAATGTTTTTACAGAAGGTCTGAGTGAGAAGGTGTCCAGATGTTGTGGCCTGGAAGCTTACCTCCCACTGAATGAAATATGCTGTAACTTTAGTTTACAACCTAGACCTTCACCTATGGCAGAGTGCTGTAATAATGGTAGGTTTACTTTCTTTACAGCCAAGACTGGGTGAAATGTTGGCATGGGTGTTAATTGGAAAATAAAGTATTTATTGTTTTTTTAAAAATAACAAAATATATATGAATGATAGTTCGAATATGACCTTCCTTCTGTAATATCTATAAAAATAGAAACTATTTTATCTGTGGTAATCTACACCAATTATTTTGTTGGGGGATAATAACATGGAAATTGATCATTAAAATAAAAGAAAAACAATTACATTTTGAAACATTTTTCCCTACAGTCAATCTAGTTGCCGTTGCGGTCCTGACTCATGTTCGGGTCAGCTGACCTATGATCAAATTTATATACCTCCAGTATTAGCTTTCTTCTGTTTTGTTTTTGTCACTTCGATTGAATTTCTGACCAATAATGATTTCTTCTTACAGAGGCCTTTGATACAATAACACAAATGTGCTGCCAATCGACAAAGATCTTGACCAGAAAGTCTTCTGACCACCGGTGCTGTTATGCTGGCCAGTATAACCCAAAGACACAGTGTTGCTGTGGTGGAAAAACACCACCCAAAGGTCCAGCCTGTTGTGGTAAGGATCCAACCTCCCCTAAAGGATAGCCAGTATCTTATTAAAGCTTCCATGCTTATGAAACCTTCTATTGAAATAAAAAAATTAAGAGTTCGGAGTGGATATGTATTCACCATGCACGTGTCCACGTGTGTACTTTCTTATAGATCTGCCTACACTGTGAAAACCACAGGGTTTGTCAGATAACATCAATAAACAAACAGCAGACAGGTCGGGAATGAAGATGAATATCTCAGGCTTTGATCATCAGATATAAGTCTGCTCAATACATCATTTAAGAGCTGAAAGACTGAGGCTAAACTTGAAGCCTATTAAGACATGACAGGTGTCTTTTAATTGACAAGTTGGGTAAACAAGCAGAGAAGAGGCTTCTTGTACGTCTCAATGAGCTACAGAGATTCATAGAAACAGTTGGACAACCATTTAACCAAAAAAAAAAAGTTAAAGTAATAGAAGCTTTTATTAGATAAGATTATGTATGTATTCTTCAGCAGCAACATGAAGGTTTATCATACTTATTTGGAAGATGGATAGAGCAAAATATGTTATAATAATGGAAACAAACCTTTTCTGTAAACTTCCATCTCTTATTGGAGTAGAGGTGCATCACGCAATGTAAATATATTTCAAAGAGAAATGCATTTAGATTTGACTTAACATCCTCAGCAGGCAATCGTCTGATTTAGTGAGAGGGATATTTTTGATATCAAGTTAACAAGTATGTTTATAAGTCATATTTAGTATTTCATTTGTTTTAAAAACATTAAACTTTTTAAAGCACAAGGAAAATACATTAAGTGTGTCAGCTGCTTTAACTGCTGTGATATGCTTGTGAATAAATATTTTACATGATGGTTACCTTACAGATGATAATCGCCCCTTTTCGCCTCCAAAGGAACTGAGGTAATTTATCTTTATTTGCCTTTGTTAAGGTTAGTTGACTGAGACAAATGAATGCAAATTTAGGGAAACTTTATATGTTTAGCTGCCAATAATTATTTAGAGCAAGACTGTGTAAGTTTTGACCCATTTTAGATTTATACGAGATATATTAAATTATTTTTTAGCTCAATGCACTTGATGCATCAATGTTGTTCTTCTCAAAAAAGTGCCCATGTAACTTTGGATGGTTGGGTCTCTCTCTAATTGAGTCATCTGACCTAGAGCGCTGCTTTATAGCAGGCTGATTTCCTCTACAACATTAGAACTAACCCTGATAATTTGTTGCTATGCAACAAGGCATCATTCAGCTTGTAACTGATCAGACAAAGTTTTGCTTTTATGAAGTAGTAATTAAACTAGAGGTTTGAATGTAGGCTTGTCTTTTGCTATAGTGCAGTGTTCCCAGTTGCTTTCATGGGCACTAAACCTAGAAGTTACAAGTTTAGCATCCCTGGTGACTAAAAGTTACACAGTGTTGTTTTATCTGATTGACATACAGTAACTGCAGCTTTTACTTTTGACCAAAATATTGAACTGTAATATAAAAATAATGCTACATAGTATAGTCGTTAAAGATGACATTGATGCATGGTGCATTCATGTTTTTTTGCATAACACTGGTTCTCTTTGTCCATTTACAGAGCTGAATCTAAGTTACATGTTTGTGGCTCAACATCTTATGATCCAAAGACAGAGCGCTGCTGTCAGAGAAAACATAGACTAGAAAAATGGAAATGCCCCTCAAGTAAGATTTCCAAGATGTTTATATTTCAGCAAGCAACAGTGCATTCAGTTCCTGATAGCTGATCAGATTTTAGATAAAAAGAGGGCCAACAATGCCTCCTCTGTTTGAATGGGATCAAAAACTTTTCCAAGGAAAGAAAAGTGTATATGCAGTACAGCCCCATTCTGGGTTGATTAAGAAACCAAACAAAGCTCAGATATAAGGATTGAAAAACAAAAAATCTCTGTAATTTTCATCCATCCAATCTTTAATAAGTGATCTTCAATGTCAGGCAATATCCTCTTTAAATGTTTTTATTATAAATCATAATGGGCTCACATATTAGCACTATGAACCTTTTCAACTGATTTTTTTTAACCTGTTTTTGTTATCTAACTAAAAACTACATATTTTCAGATAACTTGTAATCTGTAATCCTTAACGTTGCGGTAGTAATGTCTAGCCATCATAGCCACTCTTTAAACTAGAAAAAAATCTATGCAGATTCTTTTAAAACATAAAATCAGATTAGACTAGATATTAGGTTAGATTTGATCTGTATTGTCATTATCATATAAACAATGAAATTAAGTGTCAGTCATTGCTAAAAAAAAAAAACAATAGACATTAAAAAATTAATCATGTTATCTTCAAAGATTAACACACATGATAACAAATTAAAGAACCCCCCCCCCAAAAAAAAATAAAAATAAAATAAATAAAAATTACAAGAAAATATTAAGATAGCATATGCACATTCATACATACCGTAAATCCTCTAATATAGGCCCGGGCCTTTATTTCACTCAAGTGCATCGCGGTCCAGGCCTTTATTGGAAAGAGGCCAGAATTAGAGACAGGCCTCTATTGCTCTTTGAGCAAAACAGACTACCAGTGGAATGAATAAAAATGAGATTTTGTGTCTATTTGAACCTATAAAACACTAGGTTCATTCATTGAAAAAGTACAGTTACCATGTCTCGCTTGGTTTGAAGTAAAAAAAAAAAAATCCTCCAATTCTGTTTAATCCTCCTCCTCAGTTTCCTCCGCCTCAGTTTCCTCCTCCTCTTCATCTCTCCCTTTAATCTCCTCATCACTCGCGCCAGTCTCTATAACAAGTTCATTATTGTACAGTTCCTCTTCGTCCTCCTCATGTTCTGCTAACCAGGTGAGTCCAATCTGCACAGGTTAATTCAAGGTCAAGATTGGACTCACCTGCTTCAGTGGCTGGGTAGAACAAATACATGACATGGAGATGACTTGTTGACTCCACATTGCCCATGTCTGTTAGCAGCAAAGTGTTTATTCTCTTTCTTCCTGTAGGCTATTATGATTATCTCTCCTATCAACCAGTTAAGATGATCATAGTCCACGTGCAGGTGGGGTGATGGAGACCAACATCCCCCAGTTTGTTTCCCAATGTTGGAGGGAGGATGAAATTAAAAGCAGAGCTTTAACACTAGAAATCCCAGAGATACGAGAATTTTTGTCAGCCTCCAGTCCCTCCAACAGTACTTCACAGCTCATGAATCCCTTTTCAGATGTAAATGCCTCATTAGCGCTGTGGCTGGAGAACCATTCCATCCCCTTCAGTTTTTGGTTTTAGCTAAAGCCGGGCGTACACTGTGCGATTTTCGGGGCGATTTTCCAGTCATGCAAGAATCTTTCAAGCGGGTCGACTTTCAGCCTGATCCTGAGTCGTGTAGTATACAGGGGGTAATGAGCGGCGATCAGCCTCTCACGACCACCTCAGGAATCGTGAGGTTGGGAAAAAATCTAATATGTTTGATTTTCTCCAGACTGTCGTGGGCAAATCTCTCAGGGCGCATGCACAAACAAAGATTCTTCTTTTTATTCTCCCTCTCAGATGTAAACACAGCAGCGTGGCAGGAAATCAATGAGTGAAATGCAGTTCTGTCTGTAAAATTGACAGACCGTAGTAGCCACGTTTGCTCAGCCATGTCTTTTTTCCAAATACGTCGTTGCCTTTTCTTTTCAGGGCTTTCAGCCAAATATTGCAGAAATTGCCAAGGTAGCACGTTTCACTGTAGCGCAGTGGTCAGATGATAACTGATCTGTTCAATGAAAATAGCTGGATGAGCTGGAAAGCTGTAGAGAACAAAAATGTTTATACAATAATGACCATCTGGCTTATTTATTTTGGGGGGAATATAACTCAAACGATCTCCCCTCTCTCTCTCCTCCGCTGCAGCCATACAGACTGCAGACTGTTGGCAATATATTCACAGATTCGGCTTTTCCAGATTAATAACTCGTCAGATGATTTCATCTACAAAACAGACACCTCTCTGCAACCACAGCAAGCCACACAGTGAGCTACAAAGTAGTTTCCTCAAAACGATTCTCCTATCGCGCTGGGAGAATTACATTGGACCCTATGCAGAGCTCGCTCCTCCGCAAATGCTTAACGACCTTCTGCAAGTTGCAAAATAACCAGAGATAAATATTCAAAGGAGTCACCAAGGAAAGGTGAATTATTATCACATTCATTTCATGTGTATCTCATCTCATGTCTTTCATACCACATTTATTGGATTCAAAAATAATACTTTTCTGAGGAATTTCCAAAAGCCTAAATGACAAATGGCACCTCTATTTTATTATTAGAATAAGTATAAAATGAGCAATGACTACACTATAGATCATTGTAGTGCCACCAAACTTGTAGGATACATAGATAACCTCATCTAGTTCAGAGTATAACTCTTACTTTGGGAAGATTGTCAGGAACAAAGAGTTTGTCTTTGTTATTACAAGCATATAATAGCCAATAATTACACTATAGATCATTGTAGTGCCTCCAAACTTTTACTACACATAGATAACCTCATCTAGTTCACACTACAACTCTTACTTTGGGAAAATGTGCTAAACTCTATTTATTTTTTAGATTTTTCACTGTTATAAAAAGCATATAAAAACCAATAATTACTTATGATTTATTTTGTCATTTTATATACACAAGTGTAAACAAAAAGAAATTTAGTTTAGAACAGCTCTAGACAATTTCATATTTTAAAGTGCAGCCTTGAAAACAGTAATAAATACATTTTAAAAAATAGTATTTTTTGAGATTTATTCATTGTTATTATATGCATATAATAGCCAATAATTACACTATAGATCATTGTAGTGCCACCAAATTTACTTTGGGAAAATGTGCTAAACTCTATTTTTTAGATTTTTTCATTGTTATTATAAGCTGGCCAGGTGTGCAATCTCTGCAACAGGAACCACAGCACTGAGCGTTGTTTGCACTGCACAAAGTATACCTGTCACAAATGCAGGAAGGAACTAGGACCCGTAGGATATCTGGTTGTTTAATAGGTTTGCCTAAATAAAAGATTTAGATATGACTTATCAAGAAATTCCTGCAACAAGGTTTGATGTTGCAGGTACATGTAATGAAAAGTGTTTGGAGCATGCTCTTGTTCTGATGCCAGTTTGTTTCAGCCTTATCCAGTCTGATGTAGAAGGGCTGGTCATATCACATATGTGATTTGCATTACAATCGGGACAGTTAGCAAGATAGAGTGAATACACAAACTTGAAGAGGGGAGGGTGGCTTGCAGGAGAACTGGAATTCTCCGGGACATCTTGTGTTAATCATTTTCATTAAGGCTGTTGAAAATGTTTGTCTCCTGGAAGGCTACTTGGAAAAGAATGACATGGAACATTCTTTTGTCTCAATACATTCCCTCCCACTAATTTATAAGGAGTTTCCAGACAGTAACTGATGCCAGTTAAAAACCACAAATATCATTTGGAGGCTATAGCACCAGCATTAGAGACAAGCTAGACTAAACAACATGTGAAATGTCTTTAAAGTCTCACTTTAGAACAGGATGATAAGTGTAGCAAAAACATATTTACGGGTAAATCATTTTCATCCCTTTAAATGAATTAGAGAGATTGTTTTTTTTTCAAAAAAATTATAGTAGTAAAGACATTGTAAACTGCAGCTGCTGGTAAACTTCTAAATCTACAGAGCTCATCTGCATCCTTTCCATGGTTTTCCGTAAGAATTTTAACTTTTATATCCTTATCTACTAGATCCAAATATACCTACAACATACGACCCAAAGAGATATATCTGCTGTGACGGCTGCTTGTCTAAACTCATGCCATGGATGGATCAAGTAAGATTCTCATATCGTAATTTATGATTTTTTATTATAAAGTTAGATTTTATTGAGATACAGTATGTCTCAGGTAACAAGATACATTGTTGTTTAGCTTAAGGCCTTGGCACTATTTTCTTTTGCACATATTTGATTGAAAAAAAAACAAACATTTTTAACAAAGATAAAATCCATGGAGTTATACTGCTGCTTGCAGCTCGTAGCTCCACCCTATACAAATTTAAATGGGTGTTCTCCTGGAGGGATAACTCACGCTAGTCGTTTTGTCGAGGATAACAGGGTTTGAGACAGGATGATATGAAAATGCTCCGGTAAGACATTAAAGCTTACGGTTTACCAGTAAAAAAAAAAAGCTCCTGTGTAATTTTCTTTTTCTTTTGACTTTGTTTTTCTTATTAATGTCCTTTTTTGTCATAATTTTAGCTAGAGAATTGATGTAATGTAATACTGTTGCTGTAAATATTTCCTTACAGTTTTTTCTTTGAATCTTTCAGTGCTGTGGTGAGACCCCATACGGTTTAGCGCAGAGAGGAGTCCTCTGCTGTAAAAATATATTGTACGAGGACAGGGAGGATGAAGAAGTGTGCTCAGAGAGTGGAGTACCTTATAAGCCTTTTGAAGAGACGGTGTGTGTTTCTAAATGGCATAATGTTCCTGGAGGACACTGCTGTGGGGAGGAACTCTACCAACCCAACAAAACTATTTGCTGCAAAGGAAATGGGTGAATAATCAATCCATTCTCTGTGATGCTGAAGTTAACTGAAATTTTTTAGGGTTTGGTCTTTGAGACGACAGTTTCTGAAAGCAGAGTCTGGGAATGCATAAACAAGTTAATGCTTGCTTCCATGATAATCTAGACAGGACTGTTAAGGGAGCTGTATTTTCCCAAAGTCTGAAAAATATTAATTCAAACAGACATTCCTGGAGAGGTGGAGTGTCTAGTTTATTCTCTACTTCAGCTGCTGTGCCAAAAAAATCTGCAGCTGCATTGATGCTTGGAATTCTTTCCTTGTTTTGATCTGTCTGTGGGCATGTCTGTCATACCATTAGAAAAAGACCCACATATACAGTACATAGACAGCTGCTGGAGGATGTGAAACTTAAGTATACAATAACAATGAGAAATACATGATTAGATCTTTTCAAATTGAAGCTTTTTTAGCTGATGACCCAGTAACAAGTTTTATTTAGAGTCAAGTGGCGCAGCGGTTAGTGCACAAAACATATGTATAGATGCCTTAGTTCGAATCTGACCTGTAGTCCTTTGCCGCATGTCCCCCTCACGCGTAACGCCTTACTTGTCAGCCCACTGTATATAAGACAAGGCACTAGTACTTTAAAAACCTGAAAAAATTGAAAATTGTTAGAAGATTATTTAATTTAAACTATTTGTATTTATTGAAAGAAGTAAAATTAGATAAAGGAGACTTGGACTATTTCATTTAACCTGAGCAGCGAAGATTGGTATTGGGAAACAATGTAGCTTACCACTATCAGTATGTGAATGAATGAATGACCAACTGAAAGTAGTTTCAAATCAATTTGGAGTACAAAGACTTGAACAGGAGCTTTATAAATTCAGAGATTTTAACATTTAGATTTCTCCAGCCCAACCCACAGATTCTCAATTTAATTGTAATTGTAATTGTAATTGAAAATTGGGAATAGTATAAAAGAATGGTTAGATCAGTGGTACATGTCAAACGATTCTCCACCTAGATAACACATCTAGATAACGCACTTGTTTATCTTATTTGATCTATCTCAACCAAATTTTGAGAACTTTTAGACATTTTAGACATGCTTATATGAAGGTTTTTCAGATCCCCTTTATCATTACTAATAATACTAATAGAAAAAACAGTGACCATGCATTTTATAAGAAAACAATTATTAACTTTTTTTTAGAAGATCAAGGTACAGTTGTTCATTAATTAGAAACAAAAACACTAGTATGCCTTCAACTTAATGAAAATATGAGACTAGGGGTGATGAGGAGGATTGTTTTTGTAGAACCTTTTTTGCCCCGTTAAAATCCAATGGAGGTATTATTTCTCAGACAGCGTACACAAATGAGGAAACATGGTTAAGTATTAACAATATTTAATCCAGTCATGTTAAACAAATCATTGATACAAGCACAAATTGCAGCAGAACATCTTACAATCTATCGGGCCCTTACATTCTGGCCATTTCAGGGGAAGAACCCAGCTGAAAGAGAGTTTCTGCCGTCTTTCCCTTTTTATCTGAAAGTCAGTCAACATGTCTCCCACCAAGTCAGCATTCTTGGCCTCCCCACACAGCCATGTAAGATGATGCTGGAGTCGCTCGGGCCACCATATGTCCATAGTTATTTAAAACAGAAAATAAAACGAAAAGAAACTAATCTTCAGCAGGATTCAACCCATTATTTATGCAGTGATGTCAGTTTAGTATTTTATCTTTATCTCACTTTTTTCATTTATTGTTCATGACTTTCTTTTTTTTTCTTTGATAAAATAGCTACAATCGAATGAAGAACATTCACTGCTGTGGAGGTCATGCCTACAATATTTCAGACCCTTCACATAAGTGCTGCGACGGAACTCTGTATACGCTGAAAAGGGAGGAGGAAAATGACATGCACTGCTGTGGATCTAAGCTGCTGAACATAACGGTAGTGTTATTTTAGCAGATCAGACTAAACAATCTGGGTAGAAGTAAACACAAGTTTTATTTCCCACTGAAAACCTACTAAATCTTCATTAGAGCCACGAAGTTTGCTGCATAAGTGAGGACTACGCCTTGTCCTACCAAGCCAGGAAAAGCTTTAAGTGCTGCGGTCACCAGTACTACAACCAAAGTCTGTGGTCATGCTGTGCAGGCAAGCTGAGTCCACTTCACCACAAGACCATCTGTAAAAGTTCCAGCACAAAAGGTAATTTCTTCTGCCTAAAACTTCACCAAGACTGGGCCTAAAACACAAGATTCATTTCAGTCTCATTGTAGCCAAATTGTGCGTCCATTTCTGCTAGAAAATGTAAATAATTGTGTAAATAAAAGTGTTATTTTTTCATTTTATTTTTTTGCAGAATCCAAACTTCAGTTGGTGAACAATCTGAACAAAGCACAACTTTGCAATGAATGTAAGAAACTGTAAATAGCTCTCTCTTCAAAATAAACATAATCTGTAACCACTTTAGCGGGAACATCTAGCTAAAACCAGGTTAGACCATCTTAGTATTTGAAACTGCCCTTCCTGCGACATGCTGTCCCAAATTATCATAATGGTCTTAAGGGTTTGAAAATTTCAAGCTTGATACCAATACCACAAAAAATGACAATACCTAATGCTATTTTCAAAACTGTGGCATAACATTTTTGAAGGCTAACTGTTTCTTCTGGTGGAAAAACAACAACAAAAAAATAAGATTTTTAAACTATATTAAGTAATAAACTTGCTTTTAATCAGAATAAAAAAGTTTGGAATTTTTTTTGACACACCTGGAAAAAATTATTGAAGTTTAACCTCCATGTTTGGAAAATGTATATTCTAAAATTAATGTTGTTTTTTAAAACAAACAAGGCTCTGACAAAAAAATTTGAAGATGCTGAACAAAGATATTTTCTCTAGCAATTAACTACATCAGCTGGGAAGGTTGCAACTAGTTTCTAGTTTTTCTGCTGTAATTTTCAGCCTTACTTTGGCTCCACCATTACTTCAACATTAGCCATTAATGCATTTACAACTTAACTAAGATCATTAAAGCAGGTGGGTTTACTAGTCTGTTATGTTGTTTCACTATTTAGCAGCCATCGACTTAACCATTTTTCTGTGTTAATACTTACCCCTTTAGAGTAGAGCATTGCTTGATTTGAACATAGTAATGAATAACTCTGAACTGCATATATGGGAAGCCCTGAGAAAGCACTGCTATATTAAAAAGATAGTATTAGCTTGTGATATCAGGACATTCACTACTTTGCTTACATCATTTTTTTAAATTGTCACTTAAATCTCCTTTCTAACACACTGAGTTGCTGTTGTGTTTCTAATATTCATATCAAGTGTATTCTGAAGTGTATGTTTGTAACTTTTATTCTCTTTTTTTTGCCCTTATTTAGTGTACATCGGAGTTGTTGAAAGCGTGTCTCAGAACAGCACCGTGTTCAGCAGCGTGCTGAAAATCAACGGAACAAACGTCACAGTGGAACCAAATGTTTTCACCCTGAATGCAGCAAATCAATGCAACTTCCTCAGACTAACGGCTGGAAAGACCTACTTCTTCAATCGTGTTGATGTCTTCACTGATTTTAACCACGAGTCTGTCCTGCAGTCACTGCATTTCATTCTTTCCAAGTGTTCTCAGTAGGTCACCACTGGCTGGTGCCATCCTACACATTTTCCAATCCTTTGAGCAGTTACTTAATTCAGTAACTTATGATTCATTAAGAACATTTAACACTTTTACTCAGACATAGGCATATAACTTACATATAAAGCAATATGTGACTCTATAAGTATTTTACACATCAAGTACTGACTAACTAACTCAGTTTAGCATTGTGTTATGTTGATGCCATCTTGCCAATTTAAAGTCAGAAAGTAAGTTTACAGAATCATTAAGTACCAAAGTCTGACCAAAGCTATAGTTGTAGAAGCAACACAAGATCAAACATTTAACGGTTTGATACAAGAAGCTAAGTGAAAAAAATGTTGCTGTAGGTGAGCCTTATAAGCTTTGTGTTCTTATAAGCTAAATTCCTGTCAAATGTTTATTAAAAGTATATTTTAATATAGTATATACAGTACCTTGAAAAGTATTCAGCCCCATTGAATTTTTCATTTTAAGGCTTCTAATGTACTACTTTGTTATACTTTGTAAAGAATCAACAAGTCGAACACAATTATGATGTGGAACAAAATGTATTAGATATTTGAAACTTTTTAAACAAATGACAAAAACAGGAAAATTTGGTGTGCAAAATTATTTAGCCCCCTTGAGTTAATATTTTGTAATGCCGTTTTTTGCTGTGATTACAGCTGCAGGTCAATATGGATATGTCTGATTCTTCACAAAAAAATAAGTGTTATGTCTTTATGTTTGAAGCCTGAAATAAAGGATGCTGAATACTTCCGCAAGGCACTATATATACTATTTTTATTTTTGCACTGATTTGTACTGGACTCTGACAAGATAGTGATTCTATTTAGGTAGTTTATCATAATAAAACTAAATACAGTTTTAATAAACCATGCCAGAGATGTAAATGTGCTAAAATCCCACACCAGTCTTTTAACTAAAAAAGCAAGACTTATTTTTTTTTTGTGAACTTATTTTCATTTGTGTATCCAGTAGTTTTTGTTTCGTTTTTATATCATTTAATATAAATGTGACATATGTTCTCTTACACATGTGTTAGTTGACGAAACTATTAAGTGAATAAAAAGCTGATTAAAATTCAGTAAAGTGTTTGTGGATTAAATGTTTCATGCCTGATTATCATTGGGTTTTTTTATTGAACATTTATTTTTTCTAACATAGTTGAATGTATTGTTTGTTCTCCTGCCCGGTTAGGAAATTTTAAATAAAAAGCACTTAAGATTAACATTTTTTTAATCTACTGTGGAAATGTTCCTTCTCATCGTATGAGATTCATGTCTTACAAATTAGAGAGGCTGCCACATGCATGTTAAAGATATAGAGGAGGATGCTCATTTTCCAGGTGGATTATCAAAATAAGTGGTCCTCCTAATTGTCAGTCATTCTGGTGATATGTTTACGTAAGGCCATAACAGAAGAAATTGGCTTATGCATGTACTAGCACACGTTTAATTCGCTGGAAAAAATCTAAATCTAGATAAGTCATTTTTTCTTAAAATAAGTGCATTTGTTCTTGAATTGAGAAGGTAAGAGAGACATTTTGCCAATGGAACAAGACAATTTAAATATAAAATAAGAAAACACAATTATATTGTCTTATTTCAAGTGCATTTTATCTAAATATCTTATTTTAAGAGGAAAAATACTAATTCCATTGGAAAATAGTCTCATTTACCTACTCAAATTAAGGGTAAATACACTTAATTTAAGAAATTTTTACTTATTTCTAGATCATTTTTCCAGTGTAGGTATTCCCTCTCGGTGTAGGTATAGGGTTGTGCATGTGCTTTTTTTTAAGTGTAGAGGACGGGTCTTTTCAAAATCCTTCAGAATCTTCCAGTATACCTTTAATTAGTGGCTTTTTTATGGCCACTACATTTCAGGCCTGATTGGATGGGTTGCTGTTTGTCCTTCTGGAAGGTTTTCTTCTTTCTACTGAAGAAAACTAGAGCTACGACAGGGTCGTATCCTTTCTGATTAAGAACCCTCTACTCTGATCGCTCATTTAAGATGGCTGGCTAGCTCTAGACAGAGGACCAGCCTTCTGCCCATGCTCACTGGGGGTTCAGGGAGACAGAGGCAGACATCTAAAATGAATATAGAAGCACTGATATATAAACACTTTCTATGTTAAAAAAAGAGAATGGTAAACTAGCCCCATATGGGGCTCTGCCTGGAAAAGAAACAGTTGAGCAGAAGAGCTCTGAGTCAGTTTGCATGTCACAGCAAAAGCTCAACCAATGGCTATGTCTAGTAAAGAAACAGGACTAAGCACTAAAAGACAGTCCCATCTCTATCATCTATAATTTGAGGTATTGACGGCAGCAAGCCAGCTGATATTTCTCCTGAAGATGATGTCACACCAAAACAGCAACTGACCAGATGAAGCTACTATGATGTGAAAAGCCAAGAGAGCATTATGTAGCATAAATCTACCATACTGTAGAATGGGGGAATAGAAATAGAATGAAGTAGGATGATGTAAGGTCCCTATGTCATCCAGCAGTCTAAACCTTAAGCAGCATAACTATAGAGCTAGCTCAGGAGCCCCTCCAATTACAAGCTTTGTATAAAAAGGACAGTTTAAAACCTAATCTTAAAGTAAAAAGGTTGTCTGCCTCAAAGACTAAAACTGATAGTTGGTTCCACAAGAGTGGAGTCTGATAACTAAAAGATCTGCCTCCCAAGCTGCTTTTAGAAATCCTTGGATCAACCAGTAAAACTGCAGATTGATAGCGAAGTGCTCTTTTAGAACATTAGGAATGATCTGATCTATGATATTAGGTGGAACTTGGCTATTTAGGGATTAATACGTGAGGAATTTAATTCTAAATCCAAGATTTTACAGCTCTATTCTGAATTTAACAGGAAGCTAATAAAGAGAGATCGTGGGTGAGCTGTGAAACTCAAGGTAGCCTGTGTTGTGCTTCATATGGAGCCCACCCAGATAATGCTTACGGGCCTATTGTTGTGTCGTTACGCCATTGCCTGGAAAAGATTTTTCTGATATTTCATTATTCTGCTTCATTGTATCTCTATTATCCCACTCTGGAGAATCTGTTAGTTCAATCTCTAACGTTATGCTCTCTCTGCTTTTTCTCATATTAGCTTTGCCTCGTCTGTTCCTGTTTGGCTGTGACACCATCCTGGAGAGAAATATCAGCTGTGCTTCTGCCATCAACACCGTTGTTTATAGATGCTGACATGGGAGCTGGCTCGGAGCTCGTCTGCCTGGCTGTGTGTTTCCTGGACGGGGCCACCCTTTTACTGTTGCTTTTTGTATCTCTGCTTCTGTCTCCTTGAACCCCAGTCGGCCTCGGCAGATGGCCGCTCACACTGAGCCTGGTTCTGCTGGAGGTTTCTTCCTGTTAAAAGGGAATTTTTCCTCTCCACTGTCGCTACAAGCATGCTTAGTGTGAGGGGTTGAATTTGAGTCAATGAGTCAATGCAATCAACTGGTTTTCCTTAGAGGACTTTGAATCAATTTGACTGTATGATTGAACTGTAAAGTGTCTTGATATGACATGTGTTGTGAATTGGTGCTATATAATTAAACTGAATTGAATTGAATTGATTATTATTAAACTAATTGTTCAAGGGATGAAAGAATGAATAATGAGTGATGATTTAAATAAAATGTCCTGGTTAAAAATTATACCAAGGAGTTTTACTCTATTATATGAGGTCAACTAAATACCATTTAGATGAATTGACAGCTGATGTATAGTGGGTTTTTATAAATTTTTTTGTTTGTTTTTTTTCTGTGTATCTGTGAACATGGTGTATTTTTTTATTATTGAATAAGCAATACTGTCAAGTATTTCTAAAATAATATTATGATCAACTATATCAAATGCAGCACTGAGCTCTAACAGGACAAGTACACACGTGTATACTTGTTTGCCATAATACACAAGGTAGAGGGGTCACTTATCAAGACAGTAACAGTGGGTTATTATGTACATTTTTTAATACTTTTTCAGTAAGGGCCAATGTCTAGACAATCCATCAATTCCAAAAAGTGAGTCATGACATTTCCAAGCAGACATTCCAGGGGGCAAAGTTATATTTCGACATCTAGCAAATATCAGACAATGTTATATTCCTCCAGAATGTCCAGACAGAAGGGAAATTCCAAACCATACGCAACAGTGTGCCTTCAGACTCACCGCAATGCCAGCATAATTTACACTTTTTTTTTGTCCATCTTATTCAGAATATTAGGCGTAATATATATGCTTGATTTCTTATTTTGAGGTGTATGATTTTATACTTAACACATTTGGACATTTTTGTGCTTTTTTGCAGTGCTGCATTCCACTGTGATTTAGAAATGGGCACACCAATGTCTTTTACCCATTGTTTTTTTGTTACATATTTATGGTATGCTTTAGTATGACACAATAGTCTGTATATTTTTGACACAGGGCCTCTGTTCGTAGCAGCATGTTTTAATTTATCCTCTAGGTCCTTTTTGTTCCCCAGGCTGTTTTCTTGAGATATTGTTGCCACACTTTGTTCTATAAACATTTATAAAAAACTCACAGTATAATATTTTTTATCAGTCATGTGTCCTGAAGCCTGCTTATGAGTTTCTCAAATAAAAAAATCTATTTCTACTCCATCATTACCTTTTTCCAACTCTTATGCTACGTTCACACTGAGCGCAATTTCAGCAGCAAATAAACGTATCTTTTGATGCTTGTACACATAGAGGTCAGACGCGTCTCAAGAGCACCACTGATGCTCCTGAAGCGCCTCTAGTAAAATGTCTACAGACGCTTCTGATGCTTGTGGTGCTTCTTTGTTCAGTGGCAGAGAATGACTTCATCAAGATTACGATCCTGCCTTAAAATATTATTTCGCTGCTGGTGCTGCACAGACCCCCACATAACAGTGATGCATTGTCATTAGGAATCAGGCAGCTGCCTCAGTGGCATTCCTTGTGGCATTGTCCAAGACCCTAAAAAGCCTCAGGGAGAATAATGGAGGGGATACGACTTAAGGTTTAAGGACGTAACAACTGGCAAGGAAATGCATTTCCTTGAAGCGGGCTACCAAACCTAAATGAAATCCGGTAATTACTTTTCAAAATAAATAAAGACCAGAGGAAGGAGGTGGAAGCGACAATGTTTGATACAAATGACCTATGAGTATACAGACAGTTCCTGTATCACAGGATAGTCTCGGAAGTTTACTTTGTTAGTCTGATGTAAGATATTTCCTTAATAGGAGATGAAGGAGGTCGGCATCTTTTGTTTTTGTACACCCTGATTACGTGCAGGAACATACAGAGAGAAATTGATAGAGCAAAACAATAAGCCACAGTGGACATATGAGCACGGTCTAAACATAAAACTTAGAACTAAAACCTTCAAACATCAATGTTCACATCACATTGCATTGCAATGCATTGTCTTTATTTCTGGAGATAAGGAGACTGAAATGGTTCATGCATCACTAAGTTAGATCTAAGGTCATTCTTTTTTATGTTTTTTTTGTGGGGTTGCATATATTGTTTACAAGTGTTGTGCTATGTAACTGAATAATAATACATTATCTCAAGTCTGTGAAAGAAGCTGGAAGTAGTGTACTGACGCCAATTGATCTCCTGGTGCTTTTGGGGAATATATTTCTCTTACTTTTCAATTACACCTATATATAGAAAAGCAAAAAAAAAAAAAAGATTCAGTCATTACAGAACAAAGTGCAATTGAGTTAAAAAAAAATCCTTTCCCGATCATTTCTATGTGATACCTCTGGAAGCCTTTCTATCGAGATGATTCACATTTATGCACCTAATGAGTCCGAGCCTTCTGGTGACTGATTCTTTAAATCTATGCCACTAATGCTAAAAGGTAGTTTAAAAAAAGAACTTTTGCAGCTTAACCCTATAATGCCAAATGTATCGAATTTGATACATACGATTTCTGAAATGTTTTGCATCTGACACCTTTTGCATACGAACCATACCTTTTGCATACCTACAGCGTGTGCTGGGGTGGTTCGCAGCCGAGTGTGATGCGGCCGGGATGAGAATAAGCTCCTCCAAGTCCGAGGCCATGCTTCTCGACCGGAAAAAGGTGGCTTGTC